AGAAACCCATTACAAATTGTTTCAAATGCAGTAAGAATACCCAGAAGCCCTTGGGCTCTCAGCTTTGCATGAATATGTAAGACGCAGCTTTCAGACTCCAAAGGAAGGGAGTACTCAGAGAGCAGTGACAGATGTGGGAAGCAATCAGGCTTTCAGTGAGTGGTGCCAGAATGTACAGTTCACCTCCATTTAAACGATATGCCCTTCAAAGAGATGCCCAAGTAGTCAGGGGCTTCTCCATAGAGGCAAGAACTGAGACATAAGGTTTGTAAAAGAAAAAACAGACATCTGGGATTGAATTTATACCTTCCTTAAGACAGGCTAGGATTCCTGATACCAGTAAAAACATGGGATGAGGGAAGAAAGTTAGAAAGGCAGAGATAGAGGGTGCTCAGCTAATGCCAATTAAAGGAAATATGATTAGTAAATGTTTTCCGATTAAAAAGAATGGATATGGAGTTGGAAGTGGAGTGGGCAGTTGGGAATAGGAGACAAGGTTCAGGAAACCTAATTCTGGAACCATGAGATACTGGTCAAATGCTGTTATTTCATCAGACCCCAGAATTTTCACCTGTCAGATGGGATAAACAGTCTATAATACTTATATAATTTTTAAATGATATTTTATATCTTTATCCACCTGCCTATCTTTCTATTTCAGTATCTGTATCTGTAAGTTAGTAGTAGGAGAGTTACACCATTTTCAACTTTATTGATTGGTGAGTTTGAACTGACAACCTTGTGGTTCTAACTGACTTTGCATTCCAGTGCATTAACCCGCAACACCACACCAGGTCTACAAATAAGCAGCATGTTGTTGTTGTCAGGTGCCATCAAGTCAGAACCGACTCATAGCGACGCCATGCACAGCAGAACGAAACAATGTCCGATCCTGGGCCAACCTCACTACCGCTGCCCCACTTGAGTCCATCAATGATGCCACTTGGCCGATCCATCTTGTTGGGGGTCTTCCTCTTTTTCTCTGACCCTCCATCTTACCAAGCATGATACCCTTCTCCAGCGACTATTTCCTCCTGACAATATGTCCAAAGTATGAGAGACAAAGTTTAGCCATAAGCAGCATAGTTCACCTAAATCTAAATTTCAGTGATTTTCCAACCAGTGATCATGTCTTCAGGTGAATCTCTTTAGTTCAGAATTGCTCTTTAGTTCAGTTTGTCCTCTTGTTCTTTCTTGTTCTTACTCTAACAGGACTTTTTGGATGTTAGGAACGTGGCATGTAGGCATGTAGACTCCACAGGCCCTTGGTTTCAGCAGCACATTTGTTGTTGGTAAATGCAATCTCCAAACAATGTCGTTCTTCTCAGTAAGGAATATGTATAGCTTGTGACACAAAAGGTTTTAAGTATACAGTAAACATCATTATTAACACTAACTCAAATGAACTCTAGGATAATAGAGGATTACAAAGTGCTCATAGGAGGCATGTAGGGGATGTGGTGTTAGAGAACATGGCAATGGGAAGGGGAAGATGAACAGAAAATGGGAGTGAGCTGCCATGGCATACATGGAACTTGGGACTTGATTTTCTTTTCCCAGCTCATTGATACTTCTCTCTTCCGACTGCAGGCTCTCCCCTCACCAAATTTTCTGCAAAAGGAGTCCTGATTGAATACCTCTGAAGCAATGCAGTCCTCTTCTGCTTAGAGCCCTGTGGGTATCCAGACTCCTGCTTCAGGAGATATACATGCTCTCTTCCTCACTTTGAAGTCTGCACTTCTGCCTTTTCCTGCCTCATCTAGCTGAATCTTTGGTAGTTCTCAAAACCAGTTAGAGTGGTTTCCTCAAAGGAGCCTCAGTAGCACAAGCAGTTGTGGCACTGTAAGATCTGCACTGGACTGTGAACCACAAGGTTGGCAGTTCAAACCCACCAGCTGCTCCTCAGAAACCCTATACAGGTCGCTATGAGTTGACCATGAGTCATAACTGACTCTCCAACACTTAGCAACAATAGTGACCTCAAGTTTGGTGGTTGGGACCCACCCAGCTGCTCTGTAAGAAAGATCTGATAAACTACTTCTGAAAAAATTACAGCCAAGAAAACCCTATGGAGCATAACACATGGGATCCCCATGCATTGGAATCAACTTCAGCAACTGCTGAATTTGGGTTTTGGCTTCTGGTCTTCTTACATATCATAAATTTACTTTGTTCTCAGTCTTTGCTATGCTATGTACCCACCAGAACGTCCTTGCACTGAACTCTTTCACTAAATTCTCTTTCCTCTGAACTTCTAATCACAGTTAGAACCTATTTCATATAACATAGCTACTTAGCCATATTGTATTATCTCTTTGTTATGTTTTTTTTTTTCCTTCTTCTCCAGACTTGATTATAAGCTATTTAAATTAGGTTCATAGTCTAGTATGGGAAGCAGGGTTTTTTTTTTGTTTTTTTTTTTTTCCTTCTTCTAATTTGTCCACCCAGAAGGGATTCTTCCTGTTAAATTGTACAAAGACAGGATTTAGACTAGCTCCAGCCTTCTCCTGTCCTACTCATTGCTGTTGAATTGATTCTGACTCACAGTGCCCTTATAGGTAGAGCTGAATTGCACCATAGGGTTTCCAGGCTGTATGAAAATTTTATGAAGCAGGTGCTACATCTTTCTTCCTCAGAGCAGCTGATGGGTTTGAACCACTGACCTTTTAGTTAGCAACTGAGTACTTTAACTACTGCACCACCAGGGTCATTTCCTCTGCCCCAGGGCCTTGTGCTGTTAGAATACAGCACTGGACTGCAAGGTCGGCTTGAACCACAAGGTTGGTGGTTCAAACTCACCAGCCACTCCTTGGAAACCCTATACAGGGTCACCATGAGTTGGAACTGACTCACTGGCACTTAACAACAACAACCAACAGGGCCTTGCAATAAATTTCAGGTATGTGTAGACCAACCCAATTGTCCCAGCTGTCATAGTTAGATATGGTAAAAATCCCCAAGCAGAAAAATAATCTTACTAGACAAGCTGAGTGGCACTGTTCATCAAATATTTTCTTTCAGAACACAATTCTTTTTACATCTAGGAAGTTAACAGCCTTCCAGACAAAACAGAACCTAAGAGACTCTCCAAAAGAAACAAGGAAAAACCACCATGATACAAATCAAATTTTGAGACAGATCATACAGCAACAATTGTTAAAAATCCCTAAAACTACAATGACAGATATAGTTGGGGAAATTGAGGGAAAAAAAATCAAGTGAGCTGGCTGATGAAGTTGCAGGTAACATAGAGGTGAAGTTGGGTTCGAGGCAATGATTGTTTCCCAGCTAAACTCTATCGACTCTCACCCTGATGTAGAAGGGAAAAATGACTCGAAACAAATCAATATTTACCTCTCTCTGCCTAGGAGGAGTTTCTTCAAGGGCCTTGCCTTTGGTCCTCTAATAGGTCATGTATGTGTGACCTGCAAGTGAAGGATCAGACTACAGTTCCAGCCCACCACTTATGACCAGCTTTTTGACCTGCTCAAATGACAGTCTGGTTTTCTCATTTGTAAAATGGAGATAAAACTATCTTTCTCATTTATTTATTCATACAGATTCACCAAATATTTCTTAAGAGCCCACTAGTCCTGGTGGGAACTGTAGGATGAACATTCGACCACAAGAGGGGTTTGAACCGCAAGGTCGGCAGTTCGAACTCACCAGCGGCTCCTTGGAAACCCTGTACAGAATCGCTATGAGTCGGAACTGACTCGACAGCACTTAACAACAATAACATGGGCTCAGTGAGGAGTCCTGGTGGTGCTGTGGGTTGAACACTAGGCTGCTAACTGCAAGGTCGGTGGTTCAAACCCACCAGCTACTCTGCGGAAAAAAGATGTGGCTGTCTTCTCCCATAAAGAAGTACAGTCTTGGAAATCTTATATAGGGTTTCTGTGAGTCAGTATTGACTCAGTGGCAGTCGGTGGGTACGGGTCAAGTGAAGGATCCCTGAAGTGGCTAAGTACTTGGCTGCTAACCAGAAAGTCAGTGGTTTGAACCCACCAGTTGTTTCACAGAAGAAAGATGTGGCCATCTGCTTCTATTCAGATCACAGCCTTGGAAACCATATTGTGCAGCTTTACTCTGTCCTATAGAATCTCTGGAGTCCTGATGAGGCACTGTAGGATAAGCACTGGACTGCTAACCATAAGGTTGGCAGTTGCTTCTTGAAAACCCTATACAGGGTCACTATGAGTCGGAACTGACTGGACAACACCTAACAACAACACAACAGCAACCTAGAATCGCTATGAGCTGGAATTCACTTGACAGCTATGGGTATGTGTGTGTATGGACCAAGCACATTTTAAGTTAAAGAGACATGATATGTATGCTGAAGATGATGCTTCTAGATCACCTTACAGAGTTGTTAGTTACAGAGGAGAGCAAAGTGTCTTTTCACTGTAATGTACTGAAACAAAAAGGAGATCTTCAATATTAGGGATTTCCACTTTTGGTTTAGCTGTGTGACTTGGCCTTTTTAATTCCCATCTCTAACATTTGTCCTAAAATTTAATTGTTATAAATACAAATGAAGACAGTAAGATTTTTAGGTATTTCTGAATCATGACTTCCTAAAAGATCATTAGGAAACAGTTCAGACATACACAAAGATAAGAATGATACAGCAACCCCTCGGTGTATCAGATACCTAACTTAAGTCAGAACACATGACATACAGGGATCTGTATCTGGTGGCATGCTCCCACAGGGAGCAGCTGTGATGAGTTTGGCATTGACCATTCTGAATCATGGCATTTCTAAGGAACCTGATGTGTGATTAAGAGCAGTTCCCAGTGAAGAGTCCTTTTTACGCTTGTGTATGTGGTTCCTACTGGATATGAGTTTGTGACAGTGCACATCACAGAAACCTCCAGCTCCAGCCTGTCTTCTCCCTGACAGCCTTACTTATGCCCAGCCAGCAGACAGAATTAGGAAGATCATATGGCAGGCAGGACCCACAACATCTAGAAGGAGGAATATTTTTGATATACCTTCAGAGCTTTCTGTGCGGCTTCACTGGACCCAATTGCGATCAGGTTAGGTCCAGCCATGCTGCAGAAACTCTTGAGATGCAAAGCATTGGCCACTGGGACCGTGGAGACAGCATAGTCCTATGCATAAAATAGAAAAATAAGCCATTAGACATGGAAGAATAATTCTAAAATGGATTTAAAACTGTTCCACTGTAGGCTGCCGGGGCCTCTGCAGATTTATAAGGAAAGTTGGGACACTCAGGTTTCGGTAATGACAATTAAATGAAGACTGTAAGAAGAAAGTGCAGAGTTTCCTTCCAGATGTGTTACAGTGCCAACAACTTTCATTTGCTGTTTCATCTACTGAGGGGGCCACTCTGGGAAGGTGTGTCTGAATACCCAGTTCAAACTGTGGCTTGCTGAAGCCTCAGATCCTCGTGGCGTAACAGATCTACTTGTGGATTATATCCTTTCCTAAACAATTTGATAAACCAACCTATTGGTGGTCACTAGAGTAAAGGGTCCACTAAGCACAGTGTCTGGCATATAGTAGGCACCCAAACACAGGCAGCCTCCGATTCTAGTCTGAAGAATTCACACCTCCATATCCACTGGGGCTCCAGATTTGTCTGTTAAGTCTTTGGTTGTGTTAGGAATGTCTGCAGGTAGTTGTAGGATTATAAACTGAGAGAAAACATAAGATTCTCATAATAGTTTTATATCTGTCCCTGCTGTGGTAACACTACAAAACCTATTTATTGAGCAAGCTGAAAACCCCTAGAATTCCTAGCAATACTAGCAATTGTTCTGCAAAGCTGGTGACATATAAACACTAATATTCATGACATATTGATTCAATGGGTCTATGAATATTTATTAATTATTCTGTGCCTTGCATAAATTATCCTTTACCTACCTTAAAAGTATCAGCCAAGATTTCAGCACCTCGTTGATTTGTCCTTTTGGAAAGGCCCACAAAAAATTCTCTGCCTATAATAAATGTCATGGAACACAGTGAGTGGGTTGTGCCAGCAGGCTGCACATGATTGCTTTTATCTATAAATAATGACCTTAGAGCATCACACAGCTTTCTCCTTCCAAAGAGGACCTCTCCAATGGTACTCTGACCCCTGCTCTCTTTACAAAAAAATATTTTAAATAACTGCCCTTAGACACATGATTGTTATTTAGGAAAGATTAGAATTAAACACATCAATTAATTATCATCAGAAATGAAGTAACAGCAGTGACAAGCTAGCAGTACTTCCTGTTCCCATTTTTTTCTAAAAGAACAATACTGGACGTTGCTGATGAAGTAGAATCCCTCCTCCTAAAATGATCATACATTGTTTGAAGACAACATCTGGGCAAAGTGAGTCAGCCTATATCAGTCTATATCTGCTTGGTCTTCAGGTTTGACCCGCTACGGGCTCTGTCTTTAAAACTACACATCCATTTATTTCAATGACAAATGTTATAACTTTAATTTTTGTACTGTTCTTTTAAAAGGGTTAAATGATATAGGTCAAATGATGTTATGAAAAATTCCAAGGGCTTATGCTATGGGCAGACCCAGGAATCTTTTGTAGAACAGTGACATTTTTAAAAAATTATTTGTAATGATATGTTTGTTCTGTCTCTTAAGAAAATTCACTACATAAAAGTCAAAATTTAAGTTAGGGGCAGGTCTTTTTCTTGAAAAAATATTCATTTTGTAAAAAACATCAGCTACAATAAAAGTCCTTAATTCTTTTAAGATTAAAGTAGATTTTATCTTTTAAGATAAAAGTAAATTAGATTTATGTACAACTTTTTAAGATAAACATTTAATGTATTAAGCAAGATATTACAGATTTATAATGGGCCATAAAGATGATTTCTATTTTAAAAGACTAGAGTGTGATAGAAAAGTATAAAGAACAATGAACTCCTTATCCCTAGCGAGTAAGCTGAACTTCTATTTCTGGTATTATGGTGACCTGGATCCCCTACATGATCTTCCCAATAAAAACAACAAAAATGCTGAAATTATAATATTCAATTTTTTAGTGGCTCTTAAGTCACTTCCCCCCATACTATTCCCCTCTTTTTCCCTCCCTTAATTGTAGAAGAAACGAGGTCATTCATCCTATTGAAGATGCCATATTCTGGATCTGGTCAATTGCTTTCTTGGGTATCATTTAATATTAAATTCTTCCTATATCCTTTCTATTTTCAGTAAACTGATAGTTTCATTTAGATACTTAATTATATTATTATTTTTTTCTTTCTTTTTGATAAGCCTGCTTCAGAGGTGAGGCTGTACTTCTATTGTAGTGTACTATGAGGCGTCACAATTCCAATGATACTAAATTAATCAGTGGGTTCAGCTGTTATCTGCCTGAGTCCTCCATTATGAAGCTCTCCATTTAAGTTTTCAGATACTGGTTTTAACATTCTTTGATGCTTGTAGTATAAGCCCATTATTTTATTGTTGTTGTTAAGTGCCATCGAGTCAGTTCCGACCCATAGCAATCCTGCATAGGGCTTCCAAGGAGCGGCTGGTGAGCTTGAACCGCTACCTTGTGGATCAAATTGACTTTGCAGTCCAGTGCATTAACCCACAGTGCCACACCAGGACTCCGCATTTTATTAGGAATCTGTGTTTGCTGAGTTGGACTCTTCTAAAAAGAAAAACTTTTCTGAATCACATATTTGGTTTACCAGAAATAGAGGAAAGATAAGCTAAATGCCTGAGTTTTTCCTTCACTTGTCAATTTTCAGAGTAATGAAATGGTGTCCTAGCAACTTGTAAAAACAACAAATACATCCTGCCCCCCCCAAACATCATTATCCACTCATGGGTCAAAGTTGAAATCATAATGGAAAACGCATTTAGAGCTAAATAATAACTAAAACGTTTACAACAAAAGAAGAAAGACTCAGCTAAAGTAGTACTTAGAAAGCTTTAACTATAAGTAACACTTACATTAAAGAAGATGACAGGTTCAATTTTCATGAGATAAAATTCCAGCTTGAAATAAAACAAAAAAAATGAACAGAAATAAAATAAAACTAAGAACACAGAAAATCTGAATGAAGAAAACCAAGATAGAAAGAGACTGAAACCATTTAAGAGAAGGTTCAGCAATGTCATAAGTTAGTTATTTGACAAGATGAATAAAATTGACCATCCTCTGGCAAGTTAAAAAAAAAAGAAGGCACAAATAAACAATATACTATGAATAGAAAATGCTATGAAACCGAAACAGATATTAAGAAGATATGAGTAACTGGAAACCCCAGAATTTAAAAACGTAGATGAAATAGGTAACATCTTAAAAACCCAAACTCTGAAAAGTAATTCAGGAAAACCTAAATAATTGTATCGTTAAAGAAACTGAATCCATCTAAAGCTTCTCTTTTGCCTGTACACAGGACCTGGCTCCCAGGGTCTGTTTATAGGTGAGTTCTACCAAAGTCCAGGAAATAGTTAATGCAAAATGTAGTGATTCCAGAGAGTAGAAAAATATGAAACAATTTCTATTTTATGAAGCTAATATAACTCTTTTACCAAAGCCAGACAAGGATAAGAAGAAAGATTATAGGCTATAGAAATAAAAATCTTAAGCAAGATATTAGCAAACCAAATCCAACACTGTATTAAAAAGAGAATTTGTCACAATTAACTTCAGTTTTATGCTAGTATGCAAGACTAATGTAATATCACAAAACCATTGAATTTAATTAACCACATCAACAGATTAGAGAAGAAAATCATATAATCATCTCATTGAAGCAAGAGGGTGTTTCTCTTATCACCTGAAGTTCCATTTGTAGGTATTTACCTTGGAGAAACTCTTGCTTATGTCTCCAGGAGAAAAACACAAAAAGGTATATATAGCAGTACTGAAAATTAAAGACAAAATGGGAAAATTCCCACATATATATTAGCAAACACCAATAAATAGATTATGGGGTATTCTTAGTACTGAATTGTATATAGCAGTGAAAATGATATATAGCTGCATGCATCAACACAGCCCCAAAGCAGGAAGCTACAAAGAGTTCATATAGTATGACTCCATATTACAAAGTTAAAAGACAAGTAAAACTAAACAACACATAACTTAGAAATACATACATAGAGGTGAAAGTCAAAAGAAAGACAAAGCAATGATTATCACAAACTTAAGGGCAGTGGTTACCTTAGGTTTTGAGTAGGGAGCATTTGGGGTTGGGGGACCACACAGGTGCTTATAAGATCCTGAGAATCTATTTTTTAAGTCAGGTGGTGGGTACACAGGTATTCATTTTGTTACTAGTCTTTAAACTGTACCTGTGGAGTCCTGTTGTGGTGCTGTGTGTTAATGAGATGGACTGCCAGGTTGGCTTGAACCGCAAGATAGGTGGTTCAAGCTCACCAGGTGCTCCTTGGAAACCTTATACAGGGTTGCTATGAGTTGAAACTTATGACAGCATTTAACAACAACAAACTGTACATAAGCATTTTTTTTTTTTTTAATGCTTGATTGTGAATTATATGATAGTTTACATGGGAGAACTTTAGTTTTACATTCATTCCATCATATATCATCTCACTGCCATGGTTCCAATCCCCTCCATGCATCCTCAACCACCCAAAGGGTATATCCCAGAAACCTGCTCCCTATACTTCCCCCTCCTACCCCCAGTTTTCAGCCCACAGTCCAAAGTCCCCAGTCGCTTCATCACTCCATGTCATCATCTCTGTCTCCATCTCAGGCATCTCTGTTTCTCTGGGTAGGGTCCCGCTCTCGGCTCTTCTTCGTTGATGGTCCCAGAGGCCTCCGCTCCTATCCTGGAGAATCA